ATTTTGCATAGACAACTGTTAATAAACACTTGTATCTTCTGGATGATGGTTTTCGTGGTTCTCCTAGTTTCCGCACTATACAGTAGAACTGTCTTGACATTTGTATTGAAAATACTGACCTTGGTGTTGGTTGACAGTTGTTTTGAGTTGCAGGTGTTCTTCAGTTGTAAATATTCTGCTCTTGCCTTGCCGATCCGCGCCTTCACATCTGCACCAGATCCACCGTGTTCATCAAGGATGCTGCCTAGATATGTAAAGGTTCCAAATCTTCTCCGTCAATTGTGATTCGATTGGTCCATGCTGTGTTGTATCGGAGAATCTTGCTTTTCCCTTTGTGTATATTGAGACCTACTGCTGCCACACTGGTCTTCGTCTCCTGCATTTGTTGTTGCGTGTGCGACAGAAAAGCTAGATCATCTAGGAAGTTTAGATCATTCAGTTACATCCTAGATGACCACTGTAACCCATACTTCCTCTGCGGGACACTCTAGTCCTTTTCATTAATTTTTCATGTTCTGAAATCCACGAAAACTATTTGTATTGAGATGTGATTTATAATTTCTGGGAAAATCTGTTGATTGTTTCTCATTTATCTTACATGGTAACAATATACATCATAAAGATTATCTTCTTTAATTACCAAATTTAAACTTTGTATATGAAGCTGTGAAATATTATTCTGCATGTTAGTTTGACAATGACTCTATTAACAGGTTACTAAATATGAACAAATAACAAGAAATTTTCATTTAAAGTTTAAGATAACAAATGAAAAAGTACTAGATTATTATCACCAGAACTTATATTAACACAATTAGAAATGTCCCAATATAAAAGCGAAAATTAACTTATCACTATGGAAGAAATAAGGAGAAAAGTAAAGTGGAAAAAAGGTCTTGTTTTTTTTTAGAAATCAAATGTGTTAATGGTGTTATGTACTTTGTTAAAGAGCATTTATAGTTAGTTGAAACATTCTTTAAAAGTTGAGAAAATGTTTAAGAATGCTCTATACAATCAGTGTTCTTAGAAACGTCCTTGGAAAATCAAGAAACCAAATAATCAGACTTTTGTTCGACTCAGTTGATCCGATGTTAAATTTTTCTGTTAATTTGAGTGGCAGCAAAATCCGATTCAAAGGCTTTAAGTGGCGCAGCTGGGTAATGATGGTAATCTTGCTAGCTAATTTAGGTGGTTAGTAAAGATCGGATCAATTCGCCACTCCTGTGCTGTGATTGAACTACTTGGAGTTCACACCTCGAGGCTCTAAAAATCGTAACAGGTTGCCCGATGTGTATACTTATGAATGGTATGAGTCTCGGCTTGTGTAGTTGTATGTGTAGGTACATGCTAAGGGCACTCACATGGATTTGCACGAGGAACATAAGCTGAAAAATGTGTTCTTTATGTTTAATAACGGGGTTGGATGGAGACTGCTGATGGGCAGCCTATGCTTCTCCACTAGGAGTAACAGGCGTAAGTAATGTCTAATAAAATCAGTGGTCTAATCCTTAAGGTCGAAGACCCGATGAAAATATATGGTAGCGAATACTCGAGAGAGGTGACCTACAACCATCCCGGAGAAAGTGATTATGCTTATGTGTATGCTATGGACAAGTCTTTGTACCAACGGTATGCATTCAATGTGCAAGAGACAGTCAGTTGTAGAAAATAAGTTCGAAGGAAGCAATGACCATTTACTCTCCCAGATCGGTTGATATATGTGTGCTATGGGACACATAAGTCAAAGCTTGTGCTACAGGTGTGCATGTAACGTATGTTTGCTCACAAGGTAAGTATACTTATGTGTATGCAAAGGGATACTTGGATGAATACTTGTGTCACTGGTATGCATGTATTCCACACTTGACCGTGAAACGACGCCCATATATCAAGACCCGGGGTTTCAACGATTACCACACGAAATCAGGTCCATGTGATGGGTTTGTGAGCCTCAAAAAGCAACTTTCTAATTTCGATAAGCCTATGGGCTTTACCGACTAAGGTTTCACCAACCTCAAATTGCTGGAACACGGAATAACTTATTTAAAGAATCAGCTTATTTCAAAACATCTACGACAACAATCAGTTAGATTGACTTCCCGAAATGTATCAAACTCTCTATTAAAATGTTCACAGAGTTTCACAATGAATAAATCTAAGAAACATATTCTATGTTCGGTACATCGCAATGCTAATTTTAATTAAGCGACATAATGTTATATGATAGAAAAAACTTTAACACACAAGTCATATTAAACAATGTGAAATACTATACATGTTTTACTTGATATCTTGACTTCTTACTTTCTCAAGTATGACTGGATTACAGAAAGATCAAATTTCATCTATTCACTTACTAAGATGTTCGTGACGTTGATTTGAGAAAAACGACTCTTTATTAAGCGACAGTGTAGTGTTTGTACATTATTTTAACATTACCATTAGACAATCAAAGTGTAAATGAATCTTCCTAACTATGTTGGATATAAGATATATCTGGTCTAAACATAAATGTCTTTAGTTACTTAAATTATGTCATACTTAGTATCTGCTTTTGACTTTAAAATCATCTATTGACTCTTAATATATAACGTTGTTTTATCAAGCTGATCGAGGCCTGTAGACGGACATGAGTTCTGTAATTATCTTCAGAATATATTTTTATTATAATTATACAAAAGTGAAACGAACAAACTTGTTGCTCTTTCTATACTCTCACAAAATTTGAATATTGGTTTGTTCCTCTATACTATAGATAGACGAAATGATAACAAAAAAGATAAATCTAGTGTTGTTGTTTGAAAGTTGATGTTTGACAGATTAGAGAAAGTATCAAACACTTCCAACAACTCAGATGCCGTGAACTAATCTGCGAAATATTCTGTTTGACCAACGTTATATGCTACTTGTAAGTCATCACTGACGTACTCCATTGCGCATCATTTTGTTTTGATTCTTTTTCCGATCAATGATTCTATGAAATATACAAACTCCAATATCCATTCTCGTATTTGATTTATTTAATTAATTACGTTATTCACCAACGCGAGTTAAGTTGATGATTATATACGAGGAATGGCGACATGTATATTTCAATATTTCAAGCAGCAAACGATCTACCTGGAGTCAAATCTCGGGCCACTAAAATATACATCTTTATTTTATTTAATAGTTGAATTCATGAGTCGATCAAGTGTAAATCACCACTGAAAATGTGGAAGCACTGGACAGTCGTTTTGTTCTAGTATAGGACTTCTCAGTAGTGTGTATCCACGATCCCGCACATGGGACTGGTATTTTCAAAGTTCTAATAATCAGTATTACCCAACCAGATTCAATCATTAAAGTTTTCTATCAATTCATCTAATAAAACTTTTTTTCCATCTACCCTATATATAAGGTACCTGAATTCTAATATATATTTGTCTATCACTTTATCAAACGACAGATAAAAAAAGAAGTAAACTGTAGTGTTCTTGTGTATAAGTGTGACGATGGACCACGGGTGTTCTGTTATACGCGGTATATCCAGAAATCAACTTTCAAGATATAACATCTGGCGACAGGGTTATCGTACCAATATGTCATTTACCTTTGAACAATTTTGAAGCCTTGCTGCAACGCCAAGAAAAACGTACTCAGTTTATGTTATCCGCTTTCAAACGCTTTTGCAGTGAAAATGGCATATCGCATCTACAATCTCCTCCGTACCATCCTCAGTCAAATGGCCAAGCAGAAAGATTCGTGGATACGATAAAAAGAGCTCTGGTCAAATGGGGAGGTGAGGGTATCCCAGAACAAGTGGTCAGTAAGTTCTTAATGTCTTACTGAGTTACCTCTAATCCGGCAGTACCAGAAGGAAAGTCGCCGGCCGAGTGTATGTTCGGAAGGAAAATCCGGACAGTCCTTAACAGTACGTTGCCGCCCAGAAAGACAAATAAACCCATGAATGAATATCGTACGGTAACTCGTAGCTTCCAGGTGGGTGAAAAGGTACTTGTCAGATCGTATCAAGGCAACAGGAAGTGGGAACCAGGTGTCATAGAACGTCGAATCGGAAATGTACTGTACATAGTCCGGAAAGGTGTCGGAAAATGCATAAGACATATAAATAAAATCCAAAGAAACGGCAGTACAGTGGTCCCAGAAAACCGACTCCCATTTCAATTGCTCGCGGATTCATCTCAGAAAAACCATCATGAGCGCAAACATCGAAGAGACAAACGACCCAAGGAGAAAGCTGTACAACCCTCGAGAGTAATGGATCGCAAGAGGAATGCGACAACCAAGTTTCAGGTGGATCCAAGAAAAAAATCTTACACAAGAGACTTTAAAGGGGGAAGGTATAACGACGGACCACGGGTGAACTGGAGGAAACTGTAAGAGGCTCAGAAGGAACCGAACATGTTCCATCCAATCACCTTTCGGAAGAATATTCTAGAATTCCTGCGTGTGGCTTCCCGATTGGATAATGCTAATAGCCACCTGTATGCGGATTGGAGGACTGTAATGATGATTTCGTTCTTACTAAAAACTATAAATACCTGACAATTTTGTACTGTGATTGACACTGTTTGGAATAATATTCCTTTCATTAATCTTCTATTTTCTTATTGCGACTTGGAAGGGTTTTGATATTCTAATGTTCTGTTATACGCGGTATATCAAGAAATCAACTTTCAAGATATAACAATAAGTTTTCCTGTATTTAATATCGTAATTCATTGTAATCGTTTTATAATAACGCATAACTACAGATAGTCAACTTTAATAATTCATCATTTCAAACAAGTATGAATTAGGTAGCTTAATTATAATATTTGTATAGTTGAAAATAATTGGCGGAAAATTTGAATAGGCCGCCGTTTATTTTAGAATAGATTTAACTAAAATAAACACTATACACTATGAATTGTATGTATATATATAGATCTTATTATAAAACAAACATCCCTATAAAAGTAAATTGTAATATAACAAGAAACATTCAATTATGTTGTTCACTTTCCATTACATTCACGTTCCGTCGTTGGTTGATCCGATAGTTTTTCATTAATTACTATAAGAATAAAAGTATGAGATAAAAAGAACCAATAAAATATATTGACAAATTAATTCATTGAAACCTATGAGAAAAATAGAATAATAAGAGGCTGATCAATTGTACTCCTAAACATCAGTGGGAAGATTCAAGTAATCAATATCAAGTGAATCTAAACTTCACCACATTGTACAAGCAAGTGGCTATCAGAACTTAGTAGCTAAGTGGATAATACGATGGTATTTGAAGTGGACAGCACTGGGTTCGAGTCCCAGAGTAAACATCAACTCTAAGATGCAAGTACATCCAGATGATGTCTCATATAGAACGAAATGCATGTTCTGGATTTCGCTGCTAGCCACTATCCATCTTTGCTTATAATACTTGTGAATTAAGGCAATATTGAGGCAATACACACAGTATGCATATATGCCAATAAGAGACTGATTGACTTCAGTCCTAAACATCAATAGGAAGATTCAAGTAAACAATACTAAGTGAATAATTCATTAGTTTATATGAAGATAAGATTTCGAAGTTTATCTAATTTAATTGTCATCTATAGTCATAGTATAATATAGATAGATAGTCAGTTAGTTAGTTACTGGCAGGACAATTACGTCACAAGTAACATTTCAAGTTGTAGGTCAAAGTAAATTCCAGTTGCTTGAACATTACGAATAACCTTTGTTGATGAAAGCCAATTAACACGAAACTTAAGACCAACATTTCCACTGAACATATCACATTCAAATACCAATACTTTTGTTATAGCACATGTTCGTGATAATGATGTTGTATTCTTCAAAGTTGGATGATCTAATTGTTTATTATCTTTCTAGACAATATATTCAGTAGAATGTTTCAAACACAAGTAGTGAGCTATTGAAATGCTTCAACAAATCAGCTATTTTGTTGTTCGAAACAAAAGGATAAACTTCAAATGTAAAATTAGCCAACAATTCTGTTTTCATATTTATATGTATTTTATATCCGATTATATCGTCATAATCCCTTAAAAAAAACAGCGAAATAATTCCAATCAAATCATAATAAGTATGGCTATCTTGCATACTGATTGTCATATACGAAGGACAATGAGATGAAATAGAAAGAATAACGAGTAAAGTTTAAAGAACTGCTTTTTTTTGTCGATGATAATTAAGAAGACTAAATATACAGGATGTAATTTGAAGGAAATAAAGAAACTGTGTTGACCCAAAACATCTAAGGTATTATGCGTAGCAACTCACAGAAATTTGAATATTTTCTGTCTATACACACCAATGCATCAGTGTTTAGGGAATTCTTAAGTCTAAACAAACCTCTCTTGGCTAAAGGATTAACATATATTCTGTTAAAACGTGGAAATATAGCTACAAACATATTCGCTCTGTATATATTCCAACCATGTACAGTGTCGATATATACATATATATATAACCGTGATAGAAACTGATAGTTGAGCAGTATTGTGAATAAATTTGAAAATATTAACTATCGGATTTTAATCTAATATTTGAAAGCTAACCTACTCGCTATCAGACCCGAAGGTTTCGAGCTCGATTCTGGATGCCTTCATGAGTAACTAATTAGTGAAAAATATTGCTTCAGCTAACTTGTATATTTAATTTATTTGCTTAAATATATTTGTTAAGATCTTTGTATGGATTTCAGTTTCTTCTAATTGTTTACAAATGATTAGATCCTTTACACGCATTGAATTTAAATAGTTCCATGATTCTGAATATAACACTGTTAATTTGAACCTAAAACTTGGAAACCGACACAAATACTGTGGTAGATTCCACTCAAAACTCTGGAATAAAAACTATGTCAAATGCAATTTATCTTAGAGTAAGCTACCATCTGATCTCTGTTGGTTTCCTCATGATTTTGACTATCGTGTGATTTATTGCTCAAGGAGATTAAATGAATCTCGAATAATGTGATACTTACTTCTAAGATTTGTATATTCGTTTGTACATTAAATGCTAACCTACATTATTACTCACGATTTTTTACTGGACTCTCGGGGAAAAATTTCATTATATTACATAGACTGTTAATGTCTACTAGTAGGGGTAAGGGATGAATCTTTTGAAGTGATCATGAATATGGTTGTAGATGAACAATTGAAATCTTTCAAAAGATTAACAAATGTTATTCTATGGAATACAAATAACTTACTTCACTTTTATTGCTACATGTGTTTGCCTCCTAACCCAATCAGATACAATTACATTAGAATTGGTGTATAAAAAGAAAAGTATGACACTTCTACCATAATATATTTATCACATATACTAAGTGACGAACAGCTTATAAGAGATGAGCTGATTATTAACCGATACTGTTAAACAATCAGATGATTCATTACTAGTATGGGGATTGTGGAGATTATTACGTTTTTGATTGAGATCATGAGCCGATTGGTGTTAGACCACCACCTTTGGAAACCTGGAAGCACTGGACGGCCGCTTCGTCCTATTTTGGGACTCCTCAGCAGCGCGCATCCACGATCCCGCTCGCGGGATTCGAACCAGATGATTCATTATTGTATAATATTCATTTCTTATATAAATGGATTATGTTTAACATTCAATTATATACATATATGTATATATGGAATAATATTGGGTGGTAGGGAATCATATTTGCCGGGCACTTAATGTCAACCGTATATATGGATTGTTACTTGTATGAAGAATAAAAGTGAGTTATTCAAATATCGCATGTTGAGAATCTGATAATGTATTAAGCTAATAATACTGAATAAAGGGATTAGTATTATTATCACACTAATACTCATGGCTTGTTTCTTTTTTTTGACGAGTTTTTTGTCAGAAAAAGAAAGAGAAATACTTTTTCCCATTCCTTACATGTTTATCTAATAACAACAGTAATAATCGTTAATGTTTTCGTTATGTAGCACTGATTTTAGAAATAAAGCCGTTGAAAACATAATCGGATAATAATAAATATTTTTTTTTATTATACACATCGAAATGTAATTTATAACTGAAAATTAATAAACTGTGGCATCATCAGTACAGGGGTTGTGGAGATTATTAAGTTTTTGGTTGAGAGCATAAACCGATTGACGTTAGATCATCATTGAAAACTTGGAAGCACTGGACGACCGTTTTGTCCTATTGTGGGACTCCTCAGCAGTGCGCATCCACGATCCCGCTCACGGGATTCGAACTCAGGGCCTTCAGTCTCGCACGCGAACGCTTAGCCTACTGAACCACTTAGCTGGCATCGGTTCATGATCTCGATCAAAAACTTAATAATCTCCACAACCGCCATACTGATGATTAACATGTGTGCTTACTAGTGACTAGCCTCGTGAGGGAATTATTGGAGTTCTAGTGAGAAGCCGTATCGGGTAGAGACAGGTATCTACCTCAGTACAATGAGAGATGGTCGGGCAATTTCGTGGATTGGTTGATGTTAGACACTAACACCATTAGATGCCAGCCAGATCAGTGGTCCAGTAGGTTAAATGTTCGCGAGCGAAACTGAAGGCCCTGGATTCGAATCCCACGAGCGGGAACGTGGATGCGCGCTGCCGAGGAGTCCCAGAATAGGACGAAACGGCCGTCCAATGTTTCCAGGTTTTAAACGGTGGTCTAACATCAGTCGGTTCATGATCTCAATCAAAAACAGTGGCATATATGTAAACAAATGATTATTAGACGGTTTCTGGGAATTGTTAAAGTTTGTAGTAAGCCTCATAGACTGGTGTTAGTTATATAACCATTAGAAACCGTAAGGCACTTCACAACCATTTCATTCTAGTACAGAACTTCATTTGAGTGAAAACAGACAACCTAACCAAATAATGAAACCGGGACTTTCAGACCGTGTGAAGTAAATGTGATGTTAAAAATACTGAGCTTGTTTCTAACATCAGTCAATTGGAGATAATACGCAACTATTATCCAATGCAATTAATGGATAAATACTTTACCTCTGACATGATTTAACTACCTAGTCGGGTCATTAATGCAAATTGTGGCGGAATATCATATTAGGAATAAACAGTTGTCAGTTTCTCTCTGATTTCCAACGGTTGTCAGGCTACAGCCAATCAGTAATTTAGACTTTAAGTTTTTTTGAGTCATTGATGTTATTTCATAAGCTCAAAAATTGTTTCAGAAGACATATATGATAAAAGACACCAGTGTTCTTAGTTGAATGCATAAATTTGTATAGAAGGCTACAAATTACATGATCCAAGTGAGTGCTAACAAAGCTATGTTATTTACTTGTTGTTGCAGGGGACAAAGTCTGAAAACACAAACTATAACACTAATAAGCAGTTACTAACCTCATCACTTCATCTCCACAATAGACTTCAAATCTTAAATAAACAGTACATATTTACAAGCCAAAATAGGATAAAACATGCTCATTTCAAAGAATGTAATCAGTATAAAATTAATAAACCTTCAAGTTGGAGTTTAATAAACTACACTCCCCACATCAGTTAACCTATGATACTCTAAGATAGGGATTCAGGATCATCAACGATTCACTGTTTAAAACCATTTGAACCAATATATTGTCTATGAATAGTTTAAACTAACATTGGTAATCATATCTTCACTTTTGTTTTAACTCTTCATGTTCTCTCCCTCCATGCACTGATACAAATATAATTATTCCAGGTCCACAAAACAGGTATGAAATTAAAATGTCATAACGTGGCAAATAACGTACGATACTGCCTTTTTCCAATCGTCCAAAACTTGTAATTACATTTAAAAGAGTAATGACATTAGTTAGATCTGACAGTGACAGATGATTAACTGTATGATATTGCATGTCTATGATTATTCAGTAAATGAATTAGAAAAATTGCTCAGTTTGATTAATATGTGACTGTAAGCAAATCATATAAAAAATAGTATATTCAGATATCATTTAGATATGTGTCCCTATGAGTATATCTAACCACCTAACATGTAAACATGGTACATACGATGTCAAGTTGTTTAGACCAGCGGTTA